GTGGGTTTTATCCCTGGGTTGGGAAGATTCACTGGAGAAGGAAATGGCAGCCCACTCCAGTATTTTTGTCTGGAAAATTCTGTTAGGTAGTTACAATAGGAAAAGGAGTCCAAAATGGCGGTGGCTAAAAGACAGGACGGGAAAGCCCGCGAAAATAGAGGAGAGGAAGGTCAAAGGAAGGTCCGAGGACCGGAGTGAGGACCTCAGATAGAAGAGCGCACCCGCCTGAGCCCAATTTGCATAGGACAGGCCCAGGGGGAAGAAAAAACATATAAAAAGAGGAGCCAAAGGCTCTCACTCTTTCTCTCTCTCCCATGCATGCGCGCGCTCTCTCTCCCCCTCCCTCCCTCCTCCACCCTGCGCTGGCGCACTCCTCCACTCTCTTCTCTTCTTCGAGGATGGATTCTCCTGCTATCTTCTAAATAAAAGAGAGCTGTAACACTAATTTGTCTAGGAGCTATAACATGGTCTGTCCAAGACCCAACAGCTGTGATGCGCTGAGGGCTTTAATGTCCGTCACTCCAAATCTTTGTTGTGATGAGACAAAGAACCGAGGAGCACACACTCGCCTGACAATTCCATAGACAGAGAAGCCTGGCCATGCTGTAGTCTGGGGTGTCTCAAAGAGTCGGACGCAACTGAGTGAGCACACACACAGAAGAAGACAGGGAGTTAAAATGTCAATTAGGGAAGTGATTTTTGGAAAAAGTTAATAAAGATTAAGGATGGAAACAAACTGTGATGCTTTATTAAAACATGCACGTCTTCAGTCTCCCTTTTGGTGTTATTGCTACATAAATGCATCTAGATATTTAAAGAAACTGTAAAACTTAAGCTTTTGTCAAAATAAATACCAAGTATTTCAAGAGATACAAAGCACATTTTTTTTTTCTGTATTGATAACATTCACCTATTAACCAGAACAACAAAAACCTCTCTAAAGCTTAAGTATCCCTTTCAAATGTTTAAAAAACTTAACTCTTTAAGTTTAGTACCATTTACTTATTGTAAGCAGTAAGAAATGCAGCAAATGATAATGGAAATTCAAGTGCAAAAAGTATAGTGTTTTATTTCTTTAGATTTTATATTTTTGTTTTTATTTTTTCTTAGTCAATTTTAGAATATATCTAGCTAAGTAGTAGATACCTAGACTCCTTCTAAATATAAATTTTAAATATGATTTTATAGCTTCTTAAAAAATTGAGTTTTCCAATAAAGTTCTCGTAATGTATTATTTAAATGAGTAGAAATTATTTCATATTGTTTAAATTGAGCTATCCAATTTAACAGTAAAATAGAACATTTAAAGTAACATTTTTAAAGAAAAACTGATTTTAATTTTATTTGTAAGAGCTTATTACTGCTTTTTCCTGTTTAACATCTATTCTGTAGGACAAACATTAAGATATTCTTTTCTGTTTTGAACAGATAAGAGATATATATTATGCTAGTTAAGGCACAGGCTGAGTTGCTGTTCACAAAGAACTCCAAATCCTCAGAGTGTCACACAGAACAAGTCATGTCTGACTGTTTGCAACTCCAGGGACTGCAGCCAGGCTTCCCTGTTCCTCACCATCTCCCACAGTTTGCCCAAGTTCATGTCCATCCAACCATTTATCCTCTGTCACCCTCTTCTCCTTCTGCCTTCAGTCTTTCCCAGCATTAGAGTCTTTTCCAATGAGTTGGCTAATATTGATATTTATATTAGCTACATTTTAAGTCCTCCATAGCTACAGGTGTTTAATGGCTAGTATTTGGACAGTGCAGATACCATCATCACAGAAAGTTCTATTGGTCAGAGCTGCGTTAAGAGGTTGTTCTGAAAAAATTCCATTTTTTGTATGTTAGTAGAGAGAAGATATAAATACATGCACTCTTCTCAGCATCTTGAATCTGGAGTGTTGAAGTCTTCAGAGAGTCAAAGTCTGCACGGACTTTGATGGCTCACATTAGCTTGAGTTCTACTCTATAGGAAGAGAGAATGGGAGGGGTGGTGGGCGGTACGGCCAATATTTGGTTACAAGTGATCTGAAAGGTGTACATATCACTTCTGCTTGTAGTACATTGGCCAAAATATAATGATATGCTGATACCCAGGGGCAGCTGGAAGGGTTACTAGCTGGATGGAGTGTACCCAGCCAAAACTTAGTTTAGCTGGGAGTGCTGTGGAGGGAGGGATCCTGTTACCAAACGAAAGAAGCTGAGAATAAATACTAGAGGACACTTGCCAATCTAGGTCACATGTACTTAATATGATGATCACATTTAGTTTTCTTCATCTTTCTCAAAGTAGAATCAATGTGGGTAAAGTGTTTCATTTTAAATGACCATGCTGAGATTAACCTGAAATTATTACTTTTTAAAGTTTGAATTATGTTTTACAGTTCAATGGAATTAACCTTATAATCCTTTTGATTCAGGGCAATACTTTGAGCATGAAGCTGTTTTTCTCTAATGTATTATTTCTATATCTTAAACTTTGTGGCAAGATGATCTTTTGTTCCTGTGATTGCAAACAAAAGACTAGAACTTTAGTTTATTTCTGTCTTATTTAATAGATGTTCTATAATTTTGAACATGTTGATGCCACGCAGCAATGAGGAGAATGAGAAGTACTAGTTGGTGATTCAGTTTTTCCTTCTGTCTCCATGTTCCTTCTTGCTTTGTCTATGTGTACATTCATCATGCTTCTAAACTATTCAGGGATTATAATGAAAAGCAACAGGCTTTTTCCATACCACTTCCCATCCCTGGTCTTATTCTTTGCGACAAACACTATGAAATGTTCATGTTTATAAGTAACTTCTGTATTTTTAAAAAATATGCCTATATTCAGCATTGCTTGATTTATCAGAATTACATACTGATTAATTACTGTAATAAAAATAAACTTAGTTCATATACTACCTTCTCTGTCCCTTCATCACTATTCTTTTATTCTTCTATTAGCTTTACTGTTTCTTAAACTTCTTACATGTCTGCTTAAAGATGGTATCTCTTACTCTCAAATTAGCAATTACAAAATTTAATGTTTCTAATCTTCCCTCCTCATATCTTTCCCCTTTCTACTTCTCAATTCTTGTCATCTTTTAAATTGCAATGATCAAATATATTTACATTCATTTCTGTAACTATAATTAAGTCTGCTAGCTTTGTCTATTGCTGAATTCTAAAAATTGTAATTAGTAAGCAGTTTAATTTTTATGACTACATAAATATTTTTCACTGAAAAGCTAATGGTAGAGCAATTACCATTTTTAACATAGCTTTATTGTTTATAATTTAGTTTAAAATTTCCTCTTCCCATTCTGGTTTCTTATATTTTTTAAAAATTCTCTTAATCTCTTCCCACACATCAGCAACACCCTCTATCCTGTGGACGTTCTGGTTTAGCCAGCTGGCTCCCTTCTAGAGCCTTATTTTTCTGTCTTCTGATCTGTTTGGTCAGTCAGTGCACTTCTGACCACTTTACATTTTTATACAGTTTGTTGAAAATTTGCTTTGGTTGGTGCTTTTTGTAACTGTGGGTTTATGTATGCCTCTTTGAAATTCCATTTTTTGTATATGAATAGAGAAGATATAAATACATATGTTCTTCTCAACATCTTGAATCTGGAGTGTTGATGTCTTCAGAGTCAGATGCCCGTGTATCTAACCTTTACAGTCATATTGATAAAACATAGGATAAAGTCCTGTGTTCTAAATTTTGGGAGGGGAGGGGAATTTGTGATGTTTACAGATAAAGCTGAAAGAAAAAAATGATCTATATAAATTCATTGATACTTTTATGTAAGTAGACATTTCTAGAATAATTTTGGCTTCATTTGTTTTCTAAGTCCTAGAGTTTTCATAGATGATGATAAATTTTTTTGATTGTTCTGTTTTACTTTTTATTCTGTTATTCAAGATTTGTATTTTCAGTTTGAGATCTTTTCATTACAGATAGTTTTCCACAGCTTTATTGCCCAGAATTTCTTGAAATTGACCTATTTTACTATTATATCTGGCCAGTGACTTAACAGCACAGAGTGTTTTAAAAAAAATGATTCTTGGGTTAGGAGGCTAATGTTAGTGTTGAACTCTAATAGGTTTTGCCATCAGTCTGGGTGATAAGTTGTGCAATACTCTTAGGCTACTTTTTATCTTTACAAGAGAATGGTATTGTAAAAATGTCAAAAAAAATATCCACATGCCCAGTTCACCAGTAAATATACTGCTAAATTTGATCCTTTTTGGCAGTAGCTTATGCTACTCAAGGGACTGTATTTTTACAGAATGACATATTTCAAAGGGTATTGGTTTCCATTTGAGAAAATTCATGCATTTAGAGCAACTTAAAGCCAAAACAATTGTGCTTGTGCTATATGTTTAAAATATTAGTCATCTTGAATACATGCCCAGGTTAAATGTCAGAAGCTATATGTTGCACAACAAGAAAATTTATTGTTGGGAGACCAGGCGGTACCTGTGCTTAGACAGCACTTTCCTTAGAGGATCAATTTGAGTATATGAACTAATATCCACCAGGTGTTTGTACAGTAACATTATTGATAATAAAGGAGAAGTTCATCGAGGAGAAAAACAAATAAAGGAAGCATAAAAGTCTCATACTGTATAAAACTACAGAAATGGATCAAAGAGTTTGACAGGAAGTTTAATGTGTACATAAGTAGAGTCTGACAGGAACATGCTGTGTGTGCCAAAGGTTCCAGTGATGGAAAACCGAAACGTAGTGCTCACTGACCACAGCATGAGCCTTGACACACGTTGTAAATAATCCGGAGATCTATGGCTGCATTAGGCACTGGGCTGGTGTCGAAACGGTAGTAAATCTATAGCAGCAGAATGGGATGGCATGCAGAAACTCCTCTGATTAATTTTTGTAATGGATTAATAGGAATATAGCAAATATTTTCAATTCCTGCCATCCTCCAACCTCTTCCTCCCCCCAGCCTCACCCTCCCCATTGCGATCTTTTTTTATTCCTTTCTACTCACCAGGCTTGTGTCTGTGGATCCTTGCTTTAGTACCATCAAGTTAAAAGCAGATGTTTCTGGTAGAGAGCATCTAATCACCGTCAAGTTGAAGGCGAAGGTATGTGCTTCGTTAGACTGTTACTCTGACCAGGAAATACCTTGTGAAGTGAATTCTGAAAATGTTTTCAACGTAAACAAGTGCTAGTTGCTTCTAAAAAATATATATATGACCCCTAAAGGAATTATTTTGGAATGCCTCTGATTTATTCATTAAGTTTCCAAAAGCCTAGATATAATTTCATGTCACTGTTTTAGTTCAGATTTGATCAAATAAGGCTTGGTAGCTTCAAAATACCATAATGTTATGTTTGTAACATCCTATGTAGAAAAGAGTTGGGAGTTTCTGCTATCCCAAGTTCTACTAAGGAGTCTTTTGTCTTCAACTTTTAATTTTTTATGAATTACCTTTGTTCTTATTTCTGACTTACCACCATACCCCAAACACAGACCCATACGTATGGATACTTTTTATTTTCTTGGCTGAAATTTTTTTACTTCTGGTTTTAAAAATTTTGCAGAGGTTACCTCTATTGATACCTCTATTTATAGAGCTAGTGATCTGTAACTACTAATTTTATTGGCATAATGCATAGCTATTTCATCATTTTTTAATTATACATTGTGGATTTTGAGAAATAAGTAGAACAAGCAAGTTCAGGATATTACTCATATACTTAGTAATCACTGGAGAAACATTAGAATTTGAGAAAACCAGGTCATCTAACTTTTTTTTATTGTTCTTACAAGTCATCAATCAACTCTCTTTCAGAAGATTATAGTGATGAAAAGATCAATTGTGTTTGTCCTTTTTAAAAATGTGTCTGGCATTTAAGCTTTTCATGAGAGAATTAATACATAAAGCTGTGCTGGGGTGACACAGAAAAGTTGATATCTTATAGTGCCTCTCTATCAGACAAACTGAGAAACAACTCGTTCTTTTTCTTACACACCAAATGTTTATAGTTTTAAGATTCATATGTGATACGTTCTGAGAAAATATTAGTGGGATATAAATATTAATTGTAAAATAAGTTATGTGAATATTTTTATTAAATGAAAGTGAAAACACTTATTTTCTTTTTTAATTAAAAAACAATTTTTTTTAAATCAAGAGAAATCTGCTTTTATCCTTCCAAAGGTCACATACTGCCAGTGGCAAGGTTCTGTCAGTTTCTTCAGAGTTTTATTTGTTTATATTTTGTACATTGATAAAAGTTGCTGCTATGAAGACCAAAATGAAGAATTTAAAATACATCCTATCCTGATTCTATTTTTTCTGATAGCCTCAATTCTTGCAGTCTTTCCTACTAACTGAGATAATGATTTAAATCTACATTGCTTGTAACTACATCCTTAAGATTTTATTATTCTAATTATATTTTTGATAGTATTCAGAGGGAGGATGTTTAGCCACTAGAATGGTCCATCCTCTCTGCTTTTTCTTAAAATTTTTCAAAGTAGATAAAGGTGGCCCTTTTAATATTTCTCTAGAGAATATTTTCAGGTGTGAATTTTTACAGCACCAATAGTTATAAAGCACTATTATGGATGCCCTGGCAAGAAAGAAGAGAAGGCTTTGAGTTGTTAAGAAATTAGGAAGAAAAAAGAAATCTGCATTTAAAAAAAAGGGCAGAAACTAAATGAATCTTAGGTTGGTTGAATTATTAGTCTTAAATTGTCCATTTAGTTCAATTTTCATAGAGACCAAAGTTGTTTTTCAGGTGTGGTAATTTCTTTCTTAAGACTATTTGGGATTGTCAGTTAAAAACAGTGAAAGCTACAATTTACATGTTAAAGGGTCCTTAATACAATGCAAAATCTGAATCCAAACTGAATTTTATAGGGTCAGGCTTTTTTTTTTGACAAACCTTGCAACATGATTACTTTTGTAAATACACAAATCTGTTTCTTTTATCTGATACTATTTGATATCTAGTAACGTGTTTGTTTTTTTTCTTGAATACAACTCTACCAGTTCTGCCCCTCGGCCTCACTGTCTCCAAAAACCCACAAAGAAAATAATATGAATTCTGTCCAGACTTCCTCTATTAAAAGTGAATGTATAATCAAAAAGAAATACCATAAGGAAATCAGTTGAATTTTGGCATTTTTATAAGTGTATTTTTAATGCAGTATTTACAGTTCATCCTAAACTATAAGATGAAATTTTTGTCTTTTCTTTAAAAAAGAGGTAGCCCAGAGTTTCCTTAGCTTTGGCTAAGATCAGAACCACTTGAAAAACAAATCATAGATGTTTCTGAGAATGGGCACTCTGATGACTATTTTTATAATCTGCTGCAATTTGTATATATTATTCTGCCAGGGAGTCCAGTCATGAATTGAGTTGGGCTAAATTTTTCCTTAGGAATGTATGCTATAGAGTCTAATAAATATTTTTGTTATGAAAGTATATATCAATATTAAATATATTCTCTTACAGTTATTAATTTGAATTGTTTCAAGTGAGACTTGAAAAACTATATTAATTACTGTACCTATTTTTAAGTTTATTTCTTTATGTGGAGCTTTAGTTATTAAACTAGATTTCTAAAGTAAAACTTTGACAATCTCTAGTGGCTTGAAAAATACTGAATTTGATAGTCATTTTACAGTATCATACTTAGTTATATATATTATAGTTAGTATTACTCAATGGACATGAGTTTGAGTAAGCTCTGGGAGATGGTGAAGGACAGGGAATCCTGGCGTGTTATAGTCCATGGGGTCGCAAAGAGTCAGACAGGACTGAGTGATAACAACAATACACACAACTCCAAAAATGAGTATCTAGGGATGCTTACTGATTAGTCATGATAAATCATCCAGAATTATATACATTTGTGCCTTTTAGGTTTGATACAGTTATGTAATATTTATTATATAAACAGAATTGATCTTGAATGTGAATATAATACTATATTTATACATTGACTCAGTAAAGGCAACTATTTATAGATCAGTCTAATTTATTGTATACATATTTGTATGTTTGCATGAAAGTACCTAAATATATATCTGAATGTTATCTCAGATATGTGGAATCATATTTATTTTAACCTGCTTTTTGTTCAACTCCTTGTGGCTCTCTTTTTTAACTCCTTGTGGCTCTCTATCAGTACTAATGTGCCATTTAGTACCCTGAGCCCTGTTTGAATGTAGGATCATAATTCTCTTTTATCATAATGTGCCATATATACTTAATGATTTCCAAAGTTACAGGTACTTTACTGGGTTTATCTATTCTGTATACAGTAAACATTAAGTTCTTAACCTTGATTGATGATTGTTTAGAGAGTTGATATTGTTCATTGTCAGCCAGATAGACAAATAGCAGCAACTCAAGGTAAACTAAATGTTCCATTTTTGACACAAGGAGGTTTTAAGTTTGCATTTTTAATTTTTTTTTGCAGAAAATTCACATTTTAGAGGGAAAAGAGATTTTACAATGCTTTTGGTGGTGTTCTATCATTTTTACATATAAAACAGCCAGAGAAGTTAAATGACTTGTCCAAGGTCAGGAGTTAATTAGCAGAATCATAAACCAAAGAAAGCTAAGATCTCTGCCTGCATTTACTTTGAGATAATCACATGACTTGTAAAAACTGCATGCAAATGTTTTTCTAGTGATTGCAGCAGTTATAATCGGAAGAACATCATCTAATAGTTTGAATTGTCTGAAGTAGGGCTTCTTCTGTAATCTCAGTCAGATCTTCCTTTCTTCCCCCCCAAATTAGAGCATAGTTATATGTTTATATATATGTTTATATATAGTTATATGTTTACCCTTGTGATATCAGTTCTGCATAGCCAGATTCCATTAGTCAGAGTATACAATGACAGGTTTATTTTTAGCCAGCCTGTCATAATTAAATGTTAATTCTTTTTGAAGCATTGATTTCAAATGGACTGATGTTTGTAACAAATACTGTTGTGGTAATTTTTGTGCCCTTTTGCTTTGCAGAGAAGTAGTTAAAAATAAAAGGTTGAAAAAAGTGAAAGTCTAAAACTTTGGTTATTTTGTCAAATGAAAGGAGTTTTCCTAAAATGAGTTTTCTTTTTAGTAAATTTAGCTTTTTAAAGAAAAGAAGTGAGCATTTTAAAAATTACATGTGACTTTTAAGATTCCAAACTGAATCTTAGAGAAATCATGTAATAGAATTCTGTAGTAACAAAATTGATTTTAAGGAAGCTATCTTTTGTCTTTGTTAACTTAGAATTGTGGTTAGTCCTTTGGCTATCACTTCTTGTATAGAACTATTGAAGGATTAATTTTCTGTTTATCAACTATGAAAAAATTTTTCTTAAACCTAATATTTTGTTTTTCCTTAATAAACCAGAAGGCATTTCATTGTTTCTTTTTATTTGTCTTCTTGCTAAAATTAAATGCTTTGTTGTGGAAAATACTTTAATTGATAACTATATGTGTTCATTTTGTGCATTTCTTGATTCTTTTAACAAGTATTGCCTCTATAAATAGTGACTGAGGCTGTTTGAGGTTAAATTTTAGACTGAAAGGAAATGAAATATCAACCATTTTGATCTGTCATTTTAAAGATAAAGAAACAGATTCAGTGTGGTTTGCCCCTCAAATCACATTAGCAGCTGCCCAGAAACTAACTTAGTTCATTACTCTGTATTCAAAACTGATTGGTTTGGCATCCCCAAGTCACTACACTTTGTACCTCTTGAGCTTGTTGACTGTTTATCAGCTCTTAACACCTTTATAATAGTAGAACCAAAAAATATATAATACCTTTGCATTTATAGAAATACTTTCCCTAATATATTCAGTTTTTCTAAAATATTTTTATGTGAAATTGTCACAGTGAAACAAAAATGACCCTAATTTTATGCTTTTTTATAGTACCCTGCAGAATCACCAGATTGTGTTGTGGATTTTCCTGTTCCATTTTCTGTTTCCTGGACACCACAGGTAAATTCTTAAATTTATTTTAAGTAGCTAAAAAGCATTTTAAGTGGTCATTATAAAGTGGTTTTTCAGCTTTCTTTAAACATTTATTTATAAACAGGATTTTGAGAGTGTTGCTTTCCTGTTGCCTAGCAGTTGATGTCCATTCTCCCTGCCCTCTGACTCTCCCCACCTACTTTCCCATCCTCCAAACACATACACACAGACACCCTATTCAACTTTTAGATCTTTATGCTTCATGTTAAATAAACATGAAAAAGCTCTGTTGACAGAAATTATCCTTTAATTTTAAATCCTAAGGAGCTCTTTTATAAAGCAGTAAGAAGTAGGTTAAAAATCAGGTGGAATTTTTAAGACATAATATCAGAGAATCTTTTTCAGAGGAGAATGAGTTATGAATGAAAATATAAATCCTGCCATTTCTCTTCAGTTTTTATTGTTCTAAAGTGTTTGTCCTTAGTTTGTCCTTGAACTTATACTATATTCTTTTTGCATATGCTTCGGAATATTCTTACTTTGATTCTTTCTCCTCCTCCTGTCAGTTTAATTTCTCAATACATTGGTGATATCTAACAAGTTAATGTATTTAGGAGTGCACTGTAAATGGTACCATTATGTAGATAAAATGTGGTATGATTATCAATAGTTCTGTCATCAACATTGACATGTGTGACTTTTAAAGATTTGGCAGGATGGTGGTTAGATTCAAAGAAAAATCTAATGACAGGTAATCTAATGTCTCACCAAGTAAATTGATACCAAAATGAAGAGAATCTTTCTATTCTTATACAAAATGAAAAAAATTCCTAGTGGCATTTAACAAATACTCTCTGAGTAGAGGCTACTCTTATTTTTGTTCTGAAATTTTGGTAGGTTCAAGTGAAAATTTATGCTTACATTTAAATTCTAATATATAAAGTAATCGTCTTGTTAGTTTAAAAAAAAAAAAGCCTAACAGCATTTACATTGTGGTACGAGGTTTCAAATATTAAATTATACCATCTACATTGAAAATATATTTTTGTCATTTTCTTCTTTAAAAACAAAACAGTCTCCCTTCTTCTAATGGAAATCAAGAAAACACAGCAAAATATAGATGATGAAAAACACTATGATTTGCTTTTGGTATTGTGATATGTGTCATAAATACATAAATACTGTGTGTGTTTTTTTAAAGAATTGGAGTTGTACATAAATTGCATAGTTTTTGAATAATATGACTATACATTTTCAGTTTGCCTCTATGAATTTTATGTATTATATGAGATCATGAGATAACATTGTACCTAGATTGTATTACTCTTTCCATATGTTATCTGTAGATTATAATTTAATGTTATCAAAGTCCCAAGGTTGAAGAATATATTTTTGATGAATTTCCTAGTTTTTTTTTTAACATGTTTAATCATGCAAATTTTCCTCAGGCTTTAATCTGTGAAGAAGTTCGCATCTCCACAAAAGGACTGTTTAGCAGTTACCTTCCTGCCATTTAACAAAATTAGTTTGTGACTCTAACACTACAAAATCTTAAGAGCAATTTCTTCTAAATTTTGTGTCCCTACTTAACACCAGCTAAGTGCCTTGCACATATAAACATGGAATAAGTGTTTATAATATTAATTCAAATCCAGATTTAGATTTAATTGTGTTGTATGTCAGATTTTCTATTTTGTATTAGTTCTAAGAAAACAATTAATAGTAACTGAAATTGCATTTTTTTAAATTAAAAGAACATATTAGAATTCTTAGTATAGTACAGATAAAAATTTAGACATCATTTTAACCACAACTCAAATTTGACATGTTTAATATTTATCACATTTGTTTCAGATATCTTTTTGTCTCTCTTTTAGGAATAAAATGTTCTGGGACTTAAAATTTTACTCCTCTTTTTCTTCTCTCCTTTCCTTTCTTTCTTTCTTTCCCTTTCTAGAGGAAAACCTTTTGTCTGGAATTGATGTGTATGCTATCTATGCATACTCTTTTGCTACATTTGTTTATGCCATATTCTATAGTGTTTTCAGTCTTTTTTAAACAACATTGTTTCTGAGATTTACCCATGATCTATGCCTATAGTACATTTTAAATGCTTTATATCATTTCATTATATGAATCCACCAGTTAGTTTATTCAGTGTCCTAATGATATGGTTGTTCACAATTTCTTGCACAATTTCTTACTAAACAGTGCTGCTGTAAACACCTTTCTGTGTTTCCTTTTGTACATGTGAGACTTTTAGTATGGTTTATGCTTTGAAGTGAAAATGCTGGATTGTAAGTAGTGTACCTCTTTGAGATTACCAAACATTGCCAAATTATCTTTCCAAATTGGTTGTATAGCTTTATACTCCTACCCAGCAATGCACAGTAATTTCTACTTTCCCACATCCTTTCTGAGTCAGTCTGGTTTTACTCTGATCTTAATTGCTATTAAGAACTGATACTCTTTATTGTCATGTTTATAATCTTTGCCTACTTAAATTTTTGTCTTTTATTATAAGCATTTCTTACATACTTTGGATACTAATTATGTATTGGTTATATGGGATATAAGTGTCTTATCCTAGTGGCATGCTTTTTAACTTTGATATATTTTGTCAATCAGAAGTTTGATATTCAGTGTGGTCACGTTTATCAGTCTCTTCATTGTGATTTCTGCTTTATGTGTCTTGAATGAGAAAATTTTTTGCATCTTGTTTTAAAAAGATATTCATTGAAGGTTTATTGTAAAAGTTATACTTTTTTCACATTTAAATATGAGTTAGGAATTATATTTACACTTGCCTTTTTATATATGCTTATAGAATTTGGATGCATCTTCATTTGTGGAGGTCTGGGGTGATTTTATTTTTCTTTTCCATATACTACTAAAATTGTCCATTGTTAGAGTTTAGCTATACATTGTTAAGCATTTTGCTGCTATTTCCAGATGAACTCTTGAGTGTTTTCGACATGATAAAAGTGTTGGCAATGTTAATTTTATGTTTTGAAAGTGTGAAGCAACATCAATTCTTTGCTGTGTGTGGCCTTTTATCATTGGCCTATTGGAAACAATTCTGCTTGTGGGAGTTACTATCTTTTTACTTTTTTAAAACAATTTTTAAACAGTTGTGGTTCGTAAAGAATTGTAGTATTGTAGTCTAACAGCAAACTTACATTTAAAAGATTGTAAACAGGTGCCAGATAATTGATTTTAAAAAATTCCCTGTCTCTTTTTTGTACATTTCCTATTTGGATTCAGTGTTTCTGGACTTTAAACTTAGAAGATCTTTATTTTCCTTTCTTTCTGTAAAATAATAGGCATGACTTTGTGGCATCCATATTAAAAATGGGTAATTTTCCTTATGGTCCCTGTCTTCCTGCTGGGTTGATAATGTTTTGATGTATTTTTCTTTTGCTCTGATGAGAGGTCTGCTGCTGCTGCTCTGACATATTCATTTGGATGAATAATTATAACTTGCACAATGTCAAGCTGAAGATGGTAGGGTTTTGTGCGTCATGACAAGCCTAGTAGCCAGTGCAGGTGTCTCACAGCATGATCAGCAGCAGCCAGTGTATTCTGGCTCTGAGGAGGCATTTAGAGTGGTAAGAAATGAGCACCAAGGGCAAGGCTGCTGCTTCTACTGCTGCCGTGCTATGTGCCAGAGAAACAGAGTGCTTCTCAAAGACGAGTGACTGCACACCTCTTTTCACATATTTACTTTGTTTACCCAGTCAGTTTTCTTTTCTAGATTTCAGCGTAGGAATGTAAGAGCATGTCACGATTTTTATCTTATTCTACTTCCCAACTTCACAAACGCTCTAAAATGTATCTAATCTGCTGCCCTTTGGACTTGTATGTCTAGATCATATATGTGAATAATGTCGACTGTTGAGACCATAGGATGCTCTAATGTAAGATTTTAAGTGCATTGACATTAGTGATTCTGTAAAAACAAAATTACCTTTCTCCAGGTCACTGATCAACCCAAAATAGATGCTGAAGTTGTACCTTTACCTGTAAATATGCCATTAAGTGTAGGCTTCAGTGAACTAGCCTCGTCATGCTGACTGGAATTTTCAGAGATTGGATATGATATAGTAAACAGTGGTCATTATATTTTTTTATCATGTAAATCTCATATTCTTGGGAGTAATGCCATGAATATAAGAAGAGCAAAACTAATGATAAAGCCTGTGGCTGATAATCTGATGGTGAATGAAGAAATTGTAATTAAAGGAAAAACAATCCTATTACATAGCAGGGAGCATGATCCATTAGTTAGAGCAACAGACTAGCAGTTGGGTATCCTTGGTTCTGTTTGCAGTTCAGCCTTGACTTAATTGTTTAATCTCAAACAAATCACAGGCTGTTCTTTGCCTCAGTTTGTATGTATATGGAAATAGTGAACTTTTTCTCTTTCTAAGAGATCTTAAGAAAATAAATTTGGTTTAAAACAAATAGAATGGTAGATGGAGAAAATGCTCAGTATCATACTGTATGGATCCTAAGGATATTCTGCTTTTTTGATCTACTGGATTATCTTTCTTTCCATTTTTTCTCTGCTGTCCTTGTTGGAGAACTCAGAACTGGATTTTTATTCAGTCTTTATTGGTTAATTAAATATACTTTTGGTTTCTTGGCCATCTTATTGTTGCTACATCTTATTGTTGTATGGATAAAAAGACATCAAAGGAATCAAAACAAAGAAACTTAGTTCATTATTGAGATTATGTGATATGATTGACTTGTGTGATATGGTATCGTATTGAACTCAGTAACTTACTAACTGCTTCTCTTTCTTTTTTTAAAATAACATGCATTTAAAAAGTACCCCTACATTGATTCTTAAAAAAAAGAGAAAAAATACAAGCAAGCAAAATTTTAAAAATGTGAAATCACCTTTAATGCCTTCATTTATAGAGTTGGGATGTCACTGGTTAATCTGAACCTGTGCTTATCATTTAACAAAATATTTCATTTTTTTGAAATATTATTGATAATGCTATGTATTTATTATTCCA